TAATCTGTAGGGTGTGGCTGCCTCCTGGAGCAAACGTCCAGATAACTTCCTCCCTGATGTGGCAAATGTCTGCAGCTCAGGCTCCAGGTCCACAACTCGCATCTGAAGTCACTTGAACTACAAACATTTGCTCCAAATGTTTTTATTGTGGATCACCTTGATGTCCATCAGCACATCATCCAACCTTCAATTTCCTGCTAGACTCCAATAACCCTTAACTCTTTTTACAAGACCAAAAATTGGTCAAAATCTTTTATGTTTCATTAAAGTCATCTCTTGTTCTTCTAAACTTCAGTGAGATGGCCCAAACTGCTCGACCTTTTCTCGTAAGGCGACCACTTTGTCTGCAGAAGCACCCTAGTAAATCTTCTTTAAACTTTTTCCAATGTGAGTATAACCTTCCTTGGATAAGGAACCCAAATCTGTATATGGTGTTCTAGATGCAGTCTCGGCAATGCCCTGTACAGCTGTAGCAAGGTTTCTCTACTTTTATATTCTGTTCCCCTTCCAATAAATGGTAATATTACATTTATTTTCCAAAATGCTTGCTGCAACTACATTCTAACATTTCATGATTCATGTACACAGACACACTGATGTCTCTATACCACGACGTTCTGTATTCTTTCTTCATTAGCATTATATTCAATGTTTCTGTTCTTTCCACCAAAGTGGATGACCTCCCATTTTCCCACATTATACTCTATCTGCCATTTTTTTTTTGCCCATTCATCTACCTGCCTTTTTGCATTGCAAACTCTTTGAGTTCATCCCACAGTTTATTTCTTTCCCATCTTTGTATTGACAACAGATGTATTCTGTTGCTTAACCCAAGTCACTTATGTGGTTCTGAAATAGTTGCACTCCCAGTACTGATACCTTTGGATCTTCACATACATGGAGGTAGTTGCAGTGATGTACCTAAGCATATACCGAATGCTTAGGCAATCTGATGTGTGTTGCTTGATCCAGAAAAAAAGAAAAGTTTCCAGGTAAAATGAACATTGCTTGAATGGAGACTAATGATGAGCCATCTTTATCGCCTTACATGTTATGGATGCTTCTTCTAAGATCTGTAGACATTGTTTTAAATGTGACATTTTAATTAAATTGCTTATGTGCAATAAATCTAATATTGAATCCTGAAGCTTTTAAAACAGCAAAGATTTATTTTAAGCTGATGATCACCATTTGCGGAAAAACAATTCTCAGTGTGCATATCATTTTTTAAACAATAGTGTCAAAATAAGCTTTTAAATTAATCTGGATGACCATAAATAAGAAGTAGATTACAATGTTTCAGTAAGACATTTTTCTGAATTCATATATGTTGTTTTTCTTTTATGTTGAAGACTGGCTGAATCATCGGTTGATCTCAATCTTAAATTAATGCGTTGGCGTCTGGTACCAACCCTTGGCCTGGAAAATGTTATGGCTACTCGGTGCTTGCTGCTTGGAGCTGGTACACTGGGCTGTAACGTAGCACGGACTCTAATGGTAAGACTTTTACTATTTACTAACGCTTTGGTTGCATGTTTATTTTTAAGAGGATTTTTCATCATAAACTGTGTTTGTTACCTGTTTGCCTTTTGGTTAATCTGGTACCTTTCTTTTTGCACCACGACCCAAGATAAATGTACATCACATTATAGGATCAAATCAATGCAGATGCTGAAATCTGTACCGAAAGCAAAAAATTGCTGGAAATCACAGCAGGTCAGGCAGCATTCATGTAGAGAGAGCAAGCTAACATTGCGTTGCACTATCTATACCCCTTGTCCCCCAGCACTCCTCCACCCCATCACCATTGCATAAATCATGCCCCCTGCACATTGCACGTCAGCTCTGAAGAGTCATCTAGACTCGAAACATCAGCTTGCCCTCTCCGTGGATGCTGCCTGACCTGCTGTGATTTCAAACATTTTTTGTTTTCAGTATATATCCCATTCTGCCCAGATCAGGATTTCTGCAGTTAAACTATTTTTAAATTAGCAATTTTGTGGTCTGAGATAGAATTCTGAGAGAAAACCAGCGGTGATTTATATTCTGCCAACTTCATGAACTATCAAGGTGTAAATCTTGAATACGTTTGGCAGCATGCATCAATCCGCTTAGTGGTTTAAAAAGTACTGTCAAAATTCTAAGAGTATCAATTAATTAAAAGTACACAGTTACCTGCTATTAGCTGTTGTATAATCTATAATTGGCATCAATGGCATTTGATATAAACCATATAATTTGACATCCCTGCTGAGCTGTGCATCTTTATTTTAAAATAATTATTTTATATCAACTGTATGCATTGTGGAGTTTTAAATCTGAAATTGGTATTTTTTCCATGCAACTCTAGTGTGTTGATGAAGTTATCTTGAAAAAAATTTATTTAGAAAAAAATCTGCCGTTGAACCTCACTGCCCTGAAGGAGGCCACAAAGCACATTGTACAGGTGCAGACTGTTTGGAAGAGATTAAGAATGAAACCCAAAGGAACCAACACACCCTGATTCTACAGCCTCCCCAAAGTACACAAACTGGAAGTACCCCTTAGACCCGTAGTCTCCCTACCAGGCATTCCATCACACAGATTAGCCAAGGAGCTACAAAGGAGACTCGGGCACCTGGTCTACAAGTCACCCCACTCTATCCACTCAGCCCAAGAATTCCTCAACTCCATCAAAGACATAAGGATAGAGGACAAGGAGACCATGGTATCATTTGATGTCACTGCCCTATTCACATCAATAGACATACCACTAGAAAGGGAAACAATGACAGCACTACTGGAACAAGACCAAGACCCCAGTGAAACCAGGTCCACAGACAACATGCTGACGCTACTTAACCTATGCCTCACCACCCACTTCACTTTCAGCGGCCAAACATACAAACAGATCGATGGGACACCCATGGGATCACCTATCTCCAGACTTATAGCCGAGGCAGTGATGGAAAGGACTGCCCTTCCGCTAATCCAACCTAAACTATGGATACGCTACGTGGATGACACCTTTGTCATCATTAAATGGACCAAACTAGAGGAGACACAAACTAATAAACAACACCCTCACCGGAATCAAATTCACCAGAGAGGAAGAACAAACACCTCCCAATCCTGGACGTCATGGTAGAGCGCAAGACAAATGGGGAACTCCAAATGAAAGTACACAGAAAAGCCATACACATGGACCAGGTACTGAACTTCAACAGTAACCATCCTAATCCACACAAATGAAGCTGCATGCGAGCACTATTTAAATGGGCAACAGCACGCTGCAGCAGCACAGAACCACGCCAAAAAGAAGAAGAATACCTCTTCCAGGCTTTCAAAGATAATGGATATCCAAAAAACTGGTTCAGAAGATGCCTATTACACGAACAACACCAGGAAGATACTACACACCCCGACACACTCATCATGCTACCTTACATCAGGAACAATTCTGAACTAACCACAAGACTGCTACGACCGCTGGGCATCAGAGTGGCATACAAACACACATCAACCCTACGACAACCAAAGACCCACTTCCCACTATGGAGAGGACCAATGTCATATATAAGATTCCCTGCAGAGACTGTGATAAACACTACATCGGACAAACAGGAAACAAATTAACAACAAGGGTACACTAACACCGACTGGCTACAAAAAGACACGACCAATACTCACTTATCTCTATCCACATGGATAAGGAGAACCACCAATTCGACAGGGACAACACCCAAATCCTGGGACAAGCAAAGCAGAGACAGGCACGGGAATTCCTAGAAGCCTGGTACTCCACGAAGAAAGCCATCAACAAACACACAGAACTCGATCTCATATATATTTCACTACGAAGGAAAACCGGAAGTGAGGTAATCCAGCTTAATGGACTCAAAGTTTAAAAACCAGGCGGGAAAACACACCGACACTTCATCGGAGGCTGCTCTGATGATGTTACCCAGCAGGGTAATGAAATGTCTGCGGAACAACGAACCAGCTCGGCGAGCCAACCAACCACAACACCACAACCCGAGCTACATATCTACTCCAAAACCTTAAAGAGATAGACAATTAGACTTGCTTCTTTGCTGTTTCCCCATTGCCCTACAATTTGTTTCCTCTGTAGGGATATATCCAAATTTGAAAGTTTTGCAAGCTATTATTAACTCTGTTCCTATCACCAGTGCACTCCAGGACAAAACAGTTTGTTAAATTTAAAACAAAAGGATTCTTATGTCCTCCTCGTTCTTTTGCATTTGTTTAATTGAATGTAATTATTGAAAATTGCACAGAACCTTTCATGAGAAAGTTTGTCTTTTTCATGAGTTTCTGATTACAGTCGCTACCTATCCCCATGGTGCCTCTATCGCTCATCTCTGATGTGTATGTTTCATTGGTAAGGAGAGCATTTATTGCCTATTCCAGCTGCCCAGGATCAGGTGATGGTGAGCTGGCTTCATGAACCACTAATCCATGTGACATTAGTACATTCAATGCTGTAATGCCAAGTAATCAGAGGTTCTTTTTATGAAAAATTTCATGATTAGACTGTCTTGCTTCAGAAATAATTTATTGTCTGTTCTTTTTAGGGCTGGGGCGTAAGGCAGATAACGTTTGTAGACAATGCAAAGGTGTCCTATTCTAACCCAGTGCGGCAGTCGTTGTATGAGTTTGAAGATTGTTTTGATGGCGGGAAACCCAAAGCACTAGCTGCTGTAGAGAAACTCCAAAAAATCTTCCCAGGCGTGGTAAGCAGGGTTTTATACTGTTTACAAGTTGTTATCTTTGCGTGATAGACTTCAAGCCTTGAGTTTATTTCTAAAATTACCAACAAGCCTTGCTTTTTCAATTTTGAAAAATCCCAGGGAACTTGTAAAGTAGTGCCGCTAGAATATTTAAAATTGTATTAATTTCTACTTTTGAAAATTAACTTTTTCTAGATAGAAGTTCATTCAGGGAAGAAGGGCACAAAAATGTTTTAATCACAGTTCAGTGGTTTAGAACCTTCTTTATACATGATTATCCTCAAAGCCTTTCAGGCTTGCACATTTTCACAGCTTTTCAAGATTTTACAATTCTATTATGTGTAATGTGTTCATATTGTGATGTGCACAGCTGAATACATTAGATTACAGACAATCAAATGTGTTGCTTTCAGTGCTTAAAATGCAATAGAACAATTGTTGAAAAATTGGCTGGGTTGCTCTCTATAAATGTAGCTTGCTGTCCTTGTTATAACTTATACAAAGCATAAGTTAATTAATGGAGAGGCAAAGGCCTAGTGATGTTACCATTAGACTTGGCTAATGTTCTGGGGGCCCAGGTTCGAATGGTAGAATTTGAATTCAATAAAAAATATCTAGAATTGAGAATCTACAGATGACCAAGAAACTGTTGACAATTGTTGGAAAAACTCTTCTAGCACACTATTCCCATCAGGAAAGGACATCTGCCATTATAACCTGCAGTCATGTGACTCCAGACCCACCGCAGTGTGGTTGACTGCCCTCTGAAATGGCCTAGCAAGCCTCTCAAGTGTATCAATTGCTACGATGTCTCAGTAACAAAATGAAGCTGGACGGGCCACGTGGCATCGACCTAGGCACTGGAAAAGAAACAGCCTTGTTGATCCTGCAAAGTCCTCCTCACCAACACACAGCCGTATGGCACAGAAACAGACCTTCAGTCCAACTTGTCCATGCCGACCAAATTTCCCAAACTCAACTAGTCCTACTTGCCTGCGTTTGGCCCATATCCCTCTAAATCTTTCCTGTTAATCTACCTGTCCAAATGGCTTTAAAATGAATCTACCACTTCCTCTGGCAGTTCATTCCACATATGAACCACCCCCTGTGAAAAAGTTGCCCCTCAGGTCCCTTCTAAATCATTCTCCTCTCGTCTTAAGAATATGCCTTCTAGTTTTGTAGATGATCCTACCTTAATGAAAGGATCGTTGCTGCTCACCTTATCTATGCATCTCATGATTTTATAAACCTCTATAAGGTCACCCCTCATCCTCTTTCGCTCCAGTGAAAAAGGTCCCAGTCTATCCAGCCTCTCCTTATAACTCAAGCCTTCCAGTCCCAGCAACATCTTTTCTGAGACCTCTTCAACTTAATAATATTGTTCCTCGAGCAGGACGACCAGAACTGCGCACAGTACTCCATAAATGGCTTCACCAATGTCCTGTACAACCTCCATCATGATGTCCTAACTCCTTTGTTCAGTGGTTCGAGCAAAGAAGGCAAGTGTGCTAAATGCCTTCTTAACTACCCTGTCTACCTATGACACAGCTTGCAGAGAACTATGGACCTAGACCTGTAGGTCTCTCTGTTTGACAACACAATCCAGGGGCCTCCCATTAACTATATAAGTCCTGCCTTTGCTCATTTTACCACAATGCGATACCTCACATTTATCCAATTTAAACTCCATCTGCCACTCCTCAGCCTATTGGCCTAATTGATCAAGATTCCTTTTTAATCTCAGATAACCTTCTTCCCTGTTCACTATACGACCAATTTTAGTGTCATCTGCAAGTTTACTAACCATCCCTCTTAAATTCACATCCAAATTATTTATATAAATGACTAACAACAGTGAACTCAGCACTGGTCCCTGCAGAACAACACTAATCACAGGCTTCCAGTCTGGAAAAACAACTCTCCACCACCACCTTTTGTCTCCTACCATCAAGCCAATTTTGTATCCAATTGACAATCTGAGAACTAGTGCCAAAATTGGGAGAGTTGTCTCACAGCCTAGTCTAACAACAGCCTGATATTGTCATACTGTTGGAGCCATACCTTACAGACAATGTCCCAGACATCATCATCACCATCCCTTGATATGTCCTGTCCCAGTGGCAGGATAGATCAGCAGAGGTACAGGCAGCACAATGGTGTACAGTTAGAAGGGGTTTTTCTTGGAAGTCCTCAATATTGACTCTAAACCTGATGACCACATAGGCAAGGAAACCTCCTGCTGGTTACCATGTACTGTCCTTCCTCAGCTGATGAATCTGTACTCACCATGTTGAACAACACTTAGAGGAAGCACTGAGGGGGGCAAGGTTGCAAAACGTACTCTGAGTGGGGGAATTTCAATGTTTACCGCCGAGAGTGACTCAGCAACAGCACTGCTAGGTCCTAAAGGACATAGATGCTAGATTGGATCTGCAGCAGATGATGAGGGAACAAACAAGATGGAAAAACATACTTAACCTCATCCTTACCAATCTGCTGGCTACAGATGCATCTGTCCATGACAGTATCAGAAAGAGTGGCCACCGCACAAACCTTGTGGAGATGAAGTCCGACCTTCACATTAAGAATAACCTCCATTGTGTTGTATAGTACTATCACCGTGCTAAATGGAACAGACTTCAAACTGATCTAGCAACTCAATACTGGGTATCCATGAAACACTGAGGGCCATCAACAGCTGCAGAATTATACACCAGCGCAATCTGCAATCTCATGGCCTAGCATATCCTGACTCGACTATTTCTACCAAGCCAAGAGATGAATCCTGGTTTAATGGAGAGTGCAGGAGCCATTTCTTCACTGTCGCTGGGTAAAAATCCAGGAATTCCCTCCCTAAGGGCATCGTGAGTCAACCCACAGCATGTAGACTGCAGTGGTTCAAGAAGGCAGCTCATCACCACCTTTTGAAAGGCAACTCAGGATAAGCAATAAATGCTGACCAGCCAGTGACACCCATGCCCTACGACTGAGCTCTCAAGAAACTTTGGCCCTATATCTGAACGTATTCAATTTGTTCATCCATTATTTCTGTATCTCTCAATCAACAGTTTTAGATCTATTTGGTACATTGCATAGAAATCCATATCTTCCTGCAGAAAAGAGTAAATTTCAACATCAGAAAGAGTGGTTGGTTTGATTTAATGATCTCCTGTTTCTTCCCAAAGTACACTTTCTGCAATCTCAGCAGTAAAGCTAGACCATAAATTCTTTAGTGTTTGTTGAACAGTACATGGAAACTCTGTACACAGAATAAGTGATTAATTACTGAACCAGTAGTGAAGAAACCTGCATTAGACAATGGAAGTCTGTGCTTTGTACATGTTTGATTTATTACTGTGCAATGAATCCCATTTTCTTGCTCTTTTCTCATATTTCTGCACAGTCTTCCTTTTCATGGGTACAACCAATTCCATCTTGAAGGCTACATGGAATTACGTAGACGATACAGTGTGGAAGCATAACCATTTGGCCCAACTACTCCATCTTCTCTATTCAGGATATCTTTCTGTTTGCTTTTCTCTCATGTGCCCATTTGGTTTCGCTTTAGAAGCATCCAAGCTATTTGCCTGAACCACTTCCTGTGGTTGTGTGTACCACATTCTAACCACTAAGTAAATAAATACCTATTATTTCCCTATTGGGTTTATTGGTAGTTCCCTTGTATTTATGACCTTCATTTATATCCATCCAAATGTCGAAATATTGTCTCCACATCTAAGACACCAGTTAGCAATTTATCACATCAGACCATCTCTAAATCTCTTTTGTAATAAACCCCCAACTTTTTAAGTCTTTCTTGATAACTGTAATCTCTGGCACCATCTGTTTTATTCTCATTTTCTTCAGTTATTCTTTACTTTTTGTATGGTTTGTACACCAGAACAGTCTGCGTTACTGTAGCTGCAATTTGATCTGGGATTTAAATAAGTTTAATGTAAATTTGCGAAGTCTAAAGTACTATTATTGAATCGAATTCCACCACCTTCTCGGACATTGAATTCTGGATCTTCCTTCGAGTTCTTTCATCAATTACCTTAAGTTTGTGTCTTCTGGTGACTAACCTTATGTCAGAATTTACTCAATCAAAGTTCTTCATAGTTTTAAACCCCCAAAAACTGTCTCCTTTACCCCTCTGATTTGAGAAGACTAACCTTGCCTTTTCCTGTTGCTGCATGTATTTGGAGTCCCTTATCTCATGGATGGAACTGTCAGCTGTCGCTAATTTGGTAACACTCTTACCTTCAAGTCAGAAGGTCATGGGTTTGAGACCCACTCAAAAGTCTTGGCTAAAAACATCACCACCACCATCACCACCACTACTTCATCTCTGCACCCCCTCGAAGGCTTTCCCAGACTGTGATGCCAAGACTGTACTCCAGCTGAGGTCTCCCTGAGCTTCTGTACCCTGTCCTCGATTTACAAATCTAAGATCCCACACCATTTTTTTAAACAACCTTATCAACCTGGCTAAAGTTTTGTGTATAGACCCAAGCTCCTGTGTATGTGCACCCTCTTTAAGACTGCCTCTTCATTCTTACACAAAAGGTGCATCATTTCACACTTCCCTGCATTGCTCACTACATAATGTCAGCTGAAAATATTGAAAATATGTCTTTTACACAAAGTTAGGATTATTAATGCATTTCAAAAAGAGCATTGCTACTAATACTGACTCTAGGGGTACAGCAAAGTATAATTAATTCCCTTCTGTCTGTAAAACAGCTATTCATTACTACCCTTAGCGTTCTGTCTCAGCTCAATTTGTATTCATGTTGCTACTAAGTCTTTCATTGCACTGCCTTCAATTATATTAACTAATCTAATATGTGACTTTTTTGAAAGTCCATGTTCACAACATCAGTTGCATTAGTCTCATCACCCATCTGTTATTTCATCAAAGAATTAAATAAATTTGATAGGTGTCAGTTACTTCTAAAGAATCTGTGCTGGTTGTCATTTCTGAAACCATTTATTTCCTCATG